TTCTTGTTCAGGAAATTAGTTTAAGTTACCAAAATTGGCATCTACACATTGACTCTAAACCCTAAACTCCTGAGAAAGTAGCCCAGTCGCTGGTCCGCGATGACCCAAGCTTCCTCATAACATCTCGCACTGCCTTACTGGTTTAGCTTGGGAAAAACTAGAAATGAACCTCTAGGAGTACCAAGGTCTAGGGGTTGGGGTTGGTTAAACCTTAACAGCCCTAAACCCCAAAACCCGAAAACGGTTAAAGAGTATTCTACAGCCCGTCTGGCCTGCAAAGACGCAGAGGCTTGAAGTGAAAACCCTGAACTCCAAACCCCTAGACCCTAAATGAAAGATCCTAAACCCTAAACCCCTGAAATTAAAGATCAAGCTGCTTGAAGAGAAGGACCCTCCTCTGCCAGCTTGGCAGCCTTGGCCTCTAAGCAGCTGCGCAGGAGGAGTAGCTTGCTTGGAACACCTGGGTTCCCCATGAAGGATGCAGGGGGTTTAGGGTTTCGGGCTTTAGGGTTTTAGGGTTTAGGGCTTTAGGGTTTAGGGTTTAGGGCTTAGGGTTTTAGGGTTTAGGGTTTAGTAGTAGGTTTAAGATTTAGGGCTTAGGGTCTAGGGTTTAGGGAGTGTAGGAGCTTTAAGGTTCAGGGTTTGGGGATCTTGCGAAGGCATTCTCAACTAACAGAACCTACTTGTTTCTAGGGTCTCTATACCCGTAGGCTCCTAAGTAGTTCCTTTTTGTGGTTTATAATATTTAGAATCCTATAAGGTAATCCCAAAAAGGAACTACTAAGGAGCCTATGGGTATATGTTGAGGTTTATAGTTGCAGCCTACAGAAGCAGGTTCTGGAAGCTTATGGGTTTATAGAATACATGGCTTCGTTTAAGCTGCCATACTCAAGAATCTTATGAGCAGGGGCATATCATTGACACTAGCTCGCTATAAACGAAGCTCCTCAACGAAAGCCCGGATGCTCAAGCGCCGCAACTTCTCCCGAAAATGCTTGGTCGGGCGAAACACAGAAGGGTGGTTTGCATGATGGCAGTAAAGACCTCAAAGCTGGGCCGGGCCCCAGAAAGGTCAAGATTTTATATTTTTTAGAGTTTAGGGTTCAGGGCGTAGGGTTTAGGGTTTAAGATTTAGGGGACTAGGCTTATGAGGCCAACAATTTCAAAGCTCTCCCATTGGCTGAGTAGGAGACAATCCCAACCGGCTTGACAGGTCCCACGCACGAAGAGCGCGCAGGGCCTGCGGCAAAACTCCGGATGACCCCAGCTGCCAGGAATAACAAGTTCAGCAGCCATCTGTTCGGGGACATCCACCTCAGGCACTCCGTCAAAGAAGCCCTAAACCCTACAAACTCCTAAAACCCCTAAACTATGTAAACCTCTAAAGCCAAAAGATCCACAAATCAATAAATGCCAAGACACTTCGACATTGCAAACTGGACAAAGACATGGCGAAGCCGGAATTGGAGGCAATGGCTGCAAATCTGTTGCTCGCCCCACCAGCTCGGCAAGGTACTTGTCCTGGGGGATATACAAGGTTTGGGCCAGGGGTTTAGGGTTCAGGGTTTAATACTCAACCTACCAAAACCCATTTTTGTGGTAGAGCTCCTATAAACTCCACATTATGGGCTTGGTGGCTCGAGGTGTACTTACCTGAGCACGGGACTCAACAACTACTATAAGGTAATTCGTCTGACAATCACTTATCATCTATACTAAGTTTGATCGTTAAGGCCTCGGAAAAATGCTCGGACATAAAATCCTCCTAAGTCCAAACCTAAAGAAAACAAACAAAATCACAAAGGTCTACCCGGCACTTTTCAGCTTCCTTGCCTAGAGGGTACATAAAAACTACTATCGGAATTAAAGCCCCCAAACCATTACCACAATGGCAGTATATATGGCGCAGTGCTTCTCGCCCCCCCCCCCCGCCGTGTGCGGCTAAAACTGGGTTTATTTGGAAGCTGGCTCTTGTATTTTTTTGAGGAAATACTGAGCTAAATCCTTATTATAAATACAAGAGCCAGCTTCCAAATAGACCCTATAGGTGTTTTCCTGGGGGTCGGGCCCGGGAATTAAATAATGTAAATCCGGAGCCCCAGCCCAATATTTACATTATTTACATTATTTAATTGGGGCCGGGAATTAAATAATTTAAATAATTTAAATAATTCAAATCCTGGGCCCGCCCCGGACCCCCCCCCCCGGTAAACTATTCAAATTATTTAATTGGGGCCGGGAATTAAATAATTTACATAATTTACATGCGGAGCCCCGGCCCAATACTTGAATTATTTAAATTATTTAATTCGGGCCGGGAATTAAACAATCTAAATAATTTAAATCCTGGGCCCGCCCCGGACCCCCCACCGGGACCCCCGGGACCCCCTCCCCAATATTTAAATTATGTAATTTTCCATTTTATTTAATTGGGGCCGGGAATTAACTAATTTAAATAATTGAAATCCGGAGCCCCAGCCCAATATTTACACTATTTAAACTATCTAATTGGGGCCGGGAATTAAATAATTTAACAAATTTAAATCCTGGGCCCGCCCCGGACCCCCCACCGGGATCCCCGGGACCCCCTCCCCAATATTTAAATTATTTAAAATATTTCGCGTATTTAGATTTTTTTAATTATTTAATTGGGGCCGGGAATTAACTTATTTAAACCCGGAGCCCCCAGCCCGATGTTTGAATGTTTGAATTATTTAATTCGGGCCGGGAATGAAAAACCTTGGCCCGCCCGCCCACCCCACCTCACCTCACCGCCACCCCCTTATCCCACCCCATTCCCATCCCTTGCCTGCCCCCTGCACCCCCCCCCACCCCACCCACCCACCCACCCACCCACCCACCAACCCGCCCACCCACCCACTTTACCCACACCCACCCACCCACCCACTCACCCACACCCCACCCACTCACCCACTCACCCACGCCCACCCACCCACCCACCCACCCACCCACTCATCTCCATCATCATCTTCATCATCTTTATCGTTGCCCTGCTTTATGCCTGCCCACTTAACCTCTTCCTCCACACCCTCCCCTACCCCCAACCCGCCCGAAACTGCATCTGCCGTCTGCGCAGCCGCCTTGCTCTCACCCCACCACCCCACCCACCCCGCCACACACCACCCATCCCATCCAATCCTTTTATATCATCTTTATCATATTTTTTTTATCATCTTTCTCATCTTTTTATCATCTTTATCATCCTGTTTACCATCTTTATTATCTTTGTCATCTTTATCATCTTTGTCATCTTTAGCATCTGTTTCGCCGTCTATATCATCTTAGTCATCTCTTTATCGCCCTTATCATCCTTATCAACTTTTCATCACATGTTTTAGTATCCTTGAATGTTAAAAATCTCAAACCATTGTGTATACATACATGTTATGTGCTGTATGGGAACCTGAGGGTAGTATAATAAGCTCTTCCGTACACTCTGAGCCTTCAGCCCTAAACCTTAATCCCGAAGAGCGAAAAACTCTTTGACTCCCAAAAAAAAACAATGGCTAGGGATTCACAAATCTGCTGGCAAAATCTGGCGGAAGTGAGCTGCGATCGAGCAAAATGCCTGTAAATACCGCGTTACAGCAAGGTCTAGGGATTTCGCAAATCTGCTGGCAAAATCTGGCGGAAGTGAGCTGTCATCAACCAAAATGCCTGGAAATACCGCATTAAAGCACGGGCTGAGGATTTCACAAATCTGCTGGCAAAATCTGGCGGAAGTGAGCTGTCATCAACCAAAATGCCTGGAAATACCGCATTAAAGCAAGGGCTAAGGATTTCACAAATCTGCTGGCAAAATCTGGCGGAAGTGAGCTGGGATCGAGCAAAATGCCTGGAAATACTGCGTTAAAGCAAGGCCTAAGGATTTCGCAAATCTGCTGGCAAAATCTGGCGGAAGTGAGCTGTGATCGAGCAAAATGCCTGGAAATACCGCGTTAAAGCAAGGGCTAGGGATTTCACTAATCTGCTGGCAAAATCTGGCGGAAGTGACTTCTTTCAATCGAAAGCCGCAGCTGCCGAGCAGCTCCTCATCCTGGGAGGAAAGGAAACATCAAGGGTGCACCTGGGCTTCTCCTGGCTGCGGCCTTCCTCAGCTGCTGCTGCCAAGCCCAGACATTCACGGGCTGGACCTCTTTGCTGAAGGATATGTCATTATATAATTATGTCACATCATATCGCTGTTCATTGCTGGCCTGAGGCTTTGGGACCTTATTGTTGCGCATCTCTTCTTGCAATTTGCGTGCATCTTCTTTCCGCTTTCTCTCTGCTTCCTTCTTTGCCTGCACTTTTCGCTTCGCCTGTCAGTTACACGCACCGCGAGTCCTATTCGCACGCAGCCCGCCTCGTTCGATTTCTCGATGCGCTTAATGGCTTCGTCGACTTGTCGCTGTCCTTTTTGATGCGCTCCTTTTGTAGGCCAGTGCCCTTCCAAGTACGAAGACTGCGCCAAGAAGTCGTGTAGGGTACGTTGCCTCCGTGCCTCCCCTCAAGCAGTCATCGAGCTCTTTCTGCACTTCGTGCAGATTCTCCGGGGTAGCTTTGGCCAGTTTTTGGATGACCTACGCAGCCATAGAAATTTGGGCATCTCGGGCGTGCGCGAATTGCAGATGCAGATGCCGGTTCAGGCATGCAGCGGTAATGTGAATCTCGAGACTTTACGGAACTTGACAGAACACCGCTTCGGGTTGATAGGATTTCAGAATTTCAGAACGACTTCCGGATACTTATTGCCAGACACCCCCCCAAAACCTGAAACCCGAAGCCTTACACCCAAAGACCCCAGCCCTGCAGAGAAGCCTGAGATGCGGCGGCCGGTGCGTCGGCCTGAGACTAGAAAGGGAGATGTTGGATTTAGAGCCTCGTTGCAGGCACAAAGGTTCGCAAGTTTGGGTTTTGTGGTTTAGAGCTGATCATCCTCCACGGGTTTCGCGACATGGCTTTCAGCTGCAGTGGCACGACGCGTTTGGAAGTCTGGTCGAGCTTGGGGTGTCGCCACCCACGAGGTCCCAAAGCAGATCTTCCGAAACAGCGAGAGTGCCCATGCCAAAGCAAGAACGCAAAATGCAGCAAGACACCTCAATAAAGACCCTAGCAGAGTATGACACCGCCCCCCCGCCCAGACAAGGGACCCGAATACGGCGAACGTTTGCTCTGTAGACGCCGGTTCGTGCATGCTGCGGTAGTGTCAAAGGGTGTGACATTCGAAGACCAGAGCCACAGCAACATCATGGCTCGCTCAGTCGTAGCTCGCTGCTGGTGTCTGAATCATCATCGCATCATCTGAAAAACACTCTGGGGTCTGGAGCTTCAGAACCGCAGGGTCTTAACCATAAGGTTGGGATTTCCCGAGTATTCCCTCCCTGTCGAGTAAGCAAGAGAAGGAATCTCCCACCCAAAAGCTTGTGCTTGGGTGGCTTGATTACGTGTAGTTGGTGTTTTCCGGACCCAGGCGGACAACGCCATGCGTTTGGACTTAGCATCACTTAGCATTCCTGCTACGAAGCGGCTAAGCCGAAAAATGTGCAACTTGAGGAGAAGCCATGTTGGCAGGACGGGAGATCATCAGCCACGTGGTCGCAAAGCACTATATGGACTTGCTGGCAGAGCCTGCTGTTCCAAAAGGCTTCATCAATCGATGTTGCGAATCGCGTGCGCTGCTCCGGCGTGAACTACCGGAAGCCCCAAGTACTAGTTGTGCACGCGCAGACAACCCTACCTTCTTCTTGTTCTTGACCTTGACTCCTCGCAAGAACACGGCGAGTAGGCATGCTATCCACAACCCCTCACTTGCGAATGAATCACTGGGCACCGCACCGCGGTTGGCACTGCGCATCGCTCCGGCACAGCGCGTCGCTTCAGCTGCAGCCTGGAAAAAAAGCTGAAGAACGCCCAAACCCCTTTCAGCCAAGGCACGATTCAATTCATCACCGTTGATGATGTCGCCGTTGCCGTTGGCCGCCTCTCCGGAGATCCTCAATGCCAGGTAAGCTTGCTATCCCACCCCTGCGAAGAACGGCCCCGGAATGAACTTTCAAGTTCTCTTTTTGTTTGCGGGTGGGATTTTTTCCCGGTTCCGGTCCTGTGCGGGAGCAACCTATTGGGGAATTGCAAGTTGTCAGGACACCAGCGAAGAAAGGCCCCGGAATGAACTTTCAAGTTCTCTTTTTGTTTGAGGGTGGATTTTTTCCCGGTTCCGGTCCTGTGCGGGAGCAACCTATTGGGGAATTGCAAGTTGTCAGGACACCAGCAGGTAACGGCCAAATTGCTTTGTCTCAAACTATTCAGCAGCACGGCTACAAGGCTTCAGTCCCACAAGCACTGGCGGATCCGGGACCACTGCCCCAAAGCCTGGATTCGAGAGAGCGGCAAAACCCAAGTTCGTAATAGTCTTAACAATCCTCACAACCCGAATAGTCGCCAGAACAGAAGTCAGTAGTCGCGGCAGCAATAGAAGCAACCACGAAAGCAGTACGTAGCCGTAACTCACGATGTCGAAAACGATTCACAAAACCCGAATAGCAATCACGTTCACGATCGCAACAAAGAAAATGACAAAGAGTGATAAACAACAAAAACAGAATACATGATGGCATTCACCATGATAAGCAATAACAAGAATTGTTGAAATTATCTTGAGCACAGTAATACGACAAACACTACTTGTATTGATGGTTGTACTAGTAGATGGTTGTACTAATAGTAGTAGCAGCAGTAGTAGCAGTAGTAGCGGTAGTAGCAGTAGTAGCAGTAGCACTAGCAGCAGTAGTAGCAGTAGCAGTAGCAGTAGCAGTAGCAGTAGCAGTGGCAGTAGTAGCACTAGTACTGGTACTAGTACGAGTACGAGTACTAGTAGTAGTGGTCGTCGTCCTCGTCGTCGTCGTAGTAGTAGTAGTAGTAGAGGTAGTAGTAGTAGCAGCAGCTGTTGTTGTTGCTGTTGTGCCGTAGTGCTGTACGGTTGTTCTGGTAATTGTAGCAAGTAGTACTGTAGCTGTCATCATCGTCGTCGTAGTCCTGGTCGTGGCTGCAGTCGTCGTCGTAGTAGAGTAGTAGTGGGAGTAGTGGCAGTAGCAGTAGTAGCAGTAGCGGTGGTAGTAGTAGCAGCAGTCGTCGTCGTCGTCGTCATCGTCGTCGTCGTCGTAGTAGTAGTAGTAGTAATAGTAGTAGTAGTAGTAGTAGTAGTAGTTTAGTACTACTAGTAGTAGTTAGTACTAGTAGTGGTAGTAGTAGTAGTGGTAGTAGTAAGTAGTAGTAGTAGTAGTAGTAGTAGTAGTAGTAGTAATTAGGCATTGCTTTTTGGGTGTGGAAGGCAAACGGTCTGTATGCCCATCAACCATGGCAGTATCATGATGTGTCTGCTTTGCGAGGCTTTGTAAGAAGCGCATTCCAAAGCAACCTGTCTTGAGCTCTTGGATTTATCACACGAAGCAGTTTTGTGTTGTCCATGCAAGGGATGTGTTCAAATGCACTGTCTTCACCGTTCGAATGGAGAGCACTGTCCAGTACGAACCACTTAGTCGGGCCAAGCCAGGAGCCATAGCCGTATCTTGATGTCGTATCTGTATAAGCTTCAGACATAGCCATCTCGGCCCAGTGCAAACTGGGACGGCCACGCCGGGTAGATCCGCGGGCATGTCTGTATACTCCCGATGGCACAAATGCAGATGTGTACTCATGCGAATCAGGATGGCGGAGTACGTGGCCTAGGAGTTTGAGTCGCTGAAAGGAAACATGTTGGGATGGCGTGGGTGTTGGAACGTGCTGGTGCGTTCGGACAGGTACTGATTTGAGCACAGGATGTTGGACGGCTGTATTTTTGGCTCCCGCTTGGCACGTCTCACGACCTGCATTGCCGGTAACTGGTTCTGAGGAACTCGACAACTAGACCCTACGGCTGTATTATATACTCGGTGAGGACTTCAAGCCAAAAACGCGGCGCAGTTGTTGAGAGTGGAACTTGATCACACGTTGCATATCAATCGGCTTGATGCAGTATGATTCCATAGCGTAAGACAGGTTTCTATACAGATTATAGGAGAGGCTTAGATAGGGAGTCCATATATACCACTATTATGCAATTATAGGTCACCAAAACCATTATAAGTAGGATGGTCTTTTGGGGCCAATTCCATAGTGGCAGTATATATATATATGTATATATATATATATGGACCCTCTGGGTTATAGTATGTGACAGGATGTTTGTTTTAGGGGCAGTATGACTTGGAATACAGTTTCGGGGGTGTTCTTGCTCTATAATTAAGTGGACTGTGAGGGAATACTATTGCTACGGTTGAT